TTTTAAAAGTTTTCGATTTCTATCTAACCCCCCCCCCCCCCCCCCCCACCAAAAACACATTTTTTTTTTGCCTTCTGGGTTTTGTTTTTTTCTCCAGTGGAAAGCCAACACTTGCCAGCAAACACTTTCTGCAAAAGAACATGTGACATTGAACAGCCAGTTCTCTACTGAAAAGCAATTTTGACAGAAAAGTTTGGGTCACAGTCCTCTGGACAAAGACCAGCTCAACCTAGTTACGGTCCTTATGTGAAACACCCGTGATGCTGAAGTCAGCCGAAGTAAGGATTGAAGCACTTGTCTCAAAGAGAAAGCATTGTATTGTCAAATCTGTTAGGCTGCCACAGGTTGATGGGAGAAGCAACATGAACTCTGATCCAACCTACCCTCAAATGGCTTAAGTCTAGGCTGCGCACCTGGCAATCCCCAAAAGGTTAGCAGGTGGCCCACAATCCCCCACCTAGTCACCACTCCTCTCCCAGTTGGGTCTACCAGTACAAAGGAGCTAGGAGGGGGCTGGCATTGGGCAACCCACCCAGTGTGCAGAGGAAGATGGGGATACCCAGCTGGTCATGCAGTGTTTGGCCCCCGTGTCTGTGGCTCTCATGGCCATTTGGCTCCTAGCTGCCTGGAAGTTGGACAGCCCTTGTCTAAATATATGCAGGCTTGATCTACACAGGGTGGCTGCGGATTGATGAGCGGTTCCCAGTTAGGAGTGGGCCACAGCCTTGCTCCGCTCTCGTGTACTCACAATCTTTCCTGGCTGTTCCGTCGGATCGCGGGTTGGTCAGGCTGAGGGTGTTTGACACACCTGCGTTTGAACTGTCCAGGCTACTGCCAAGATGTAACCTTCTCATGTGTCTCACGACTGCTGTGGCGTTGAACGCTTGCTGGAAAAGAAAAAAGCACAGAATCACTCTGTTGTCAATTTTATTCTGTTTATTCGCAGTTGCTATTATGATTTCACAAGTTTCTGTTTTGTAAACTGGAAAGACTTTCTCAGGTCTTGAGCTTATATCTTTTATCCCCATTGAGGAGGGCTTAGGAGCCCACCGTGGGCCCCTCTGTGCCAACTGACAAAGGATATGAGTTGCCACAGTTCCCAACTGCAGTGTTGCCTCTTCAGCTCCAATTATACCAGCTCAAGCTTTTAATTGTGCATACACCTGGTTCAGTCCTCGGTGTCCATCACACCTATAAACATGAGTAGTATGACTGCCTAAACTGCGGAGCCCCAATTTGATGGCTGTAGTCGCTGGATGTACAGCAATGCAGCAGCTGTTTTTATTAGTGCTAGGGGTGCACTGATAAATATTTTCGTGGCCAATACTGACAGCCACTTATTAACCAGCCATATCGGCCGATACCTATCCAATAACTGATTTGGTTACATGTGATGCTGGAGGCTGACAGAGCGTGCCAAAGAAAAGAAAGGTTTAAACTTAAAAACGTACTGACATAAATAAACCGTTTTTTCTGGCATGCCCCAGCAGCCTCTCAGGTCATATGTATCAGTGTCCCAGCACTTAAAAATGGCAGCAGGGGTGCTTGAACTAAAGCTCAGGGACACTTAAGTGTGGCAGAGCCAAGTGGGGTGAAGGCAGATGAAGGCTGCCAGTTGTAGGCTCAAGGCTTTCTGCTCTGCTGCCTTTTACTTCAGGAGCCCTGTGCTGGCCACGTGCCCCCCGCCCACCCAGCAGCTGGGACACAACTCACTACCCCCACTGCTGTTGGGTGGGCAGGGAGCACATGGCCAGTGTGGGGCTCCCGGGGAAAAAGCAGGGCGGAGAACCCCAAGCCCACAGCAAGCATGCTGCATCTACCCCGTGCACAAATCTGGGGGGGCACATGCCCCATCCCCCAACGGGTGCACACAATGGTGGGGAGCCACCCCTCAGGCCCCCTGGACAAGCTGCCCATGGCTTTGTCCTGATCCCTGCCCTGGCCCTGGGTCCCATGCATTGCCCTGGCTGGACAGCACCACTAGTCCCAGCCCCAGCCTCAGCCCCTGCCCCACTCCATTCCTTACCATGGGGGCCTCAATCTGCCCCCCCCCCACGTTCCCCACCAGCTCCTTCCCTGCCAGGGAGCTGGGAAGAAG